TGAAAATAAGGTAATAAACAACGGGTTGATAATTACAATTATTTACAAAAATTCAGACAGGGGGCGTGAGAGAAGAGACCATCCATTGATGGGACTTCATGACATGTGTTGGTGGAGGTTAGTCTGAAAGTAAATCACGACACCACGTTCGTTTTAGTCGCCTTCTGGGGTCACCAGGAATAGAGGGGATAGATAGTTCTGAAATCAAGGGATTGCGGTAATTGCGAAGATTGGTGTGCATGCGTTTGTAGAAGGACTTGAATACAAATTTAAACGAAAACTATGTATACTTATTTTTTGATTTATAGATATTAAAATCTCAACATTGTTTTCCTACATTTTTTATACTATTTCAGTGTATATACTTGATTCGCCCAAGCAGTGCATGAAATCGATATTGGATACCGATTGGAACCGTTAAAAACTGAAATCGTTATCGAAAAAAATCAATGCCGGTACTCAAAACCGAAATCCGAAAAAATAAACACCGAGGCAGATTAGCGTCTATTTAAATATTTGAAAAAATACAATATTATATTTGGATGAGTAATATACGGTATACATTTCTATGGAACTATTGACATATTAAAAAATTTAAAGGTAAGATTATTGTCTAGGGCCCCGCGTACCTTTTATTGATTTTTAAGACTTTTTAACATGGTATAAAAAAATTCTAAATAAGCTAAAAATCTTATTTTATAAAAAATAACTTTTTAATAATTTGGAAAATAACTATTTTTTCGTAATTAATTATTAATATGGGAAAAAAACTATTTTAAAATCGGTTGAACTTTTAATTAATGAAAGCAATTTCTATTTTTAGAAATTCAGCACAATAATGTAAAATAAAAATAAAATAAAAATAGTATGGTTTTTACACTTTGATAACTAATGGAATTCCAATACGCGATAAAGAATACACTATTTCTCATTGAATTTGTATGTAAAATTTTTATGTAGTATGCAAGTATGGTTTATAGTATTGTTAAATATATTTGTATATGTTTCATGATCTGCTATGCACAAGTCAATTTTGTAGGGCCATGATCATGATCTGTATAACTAAATATTATGTCAAGGGGAATATCTGTCATATTTTAAAAGATTTTAAGCGTTTTTTGGAATTTTTTTTTAGTCCATGATAAAAGAGCTATACCTACCTAGCTATATTATATCATATTTAAAGAAACTGCACTGCAATAAATATAATACATTTTAAATTAGCTACTCACTTTCCAATTCATTTAAATACTGTATAATGTATACCGCTAAAAAACTAACCCTTATATACTCTTTTTTATACAAAAAATTGATTTTAAAATGTTTTGGTATTAAATCATTTTATATTAAATCTAAAAGTATAACTAGTATGTATAAATTATGTTAAAAACTTGATAGTTCTAGAACAATTAAAAAATAGAAAATATTGCATTGCATTTGTTTTTTCTATTCATTAAAGTGTTAAAAAGCCTTTTTTTATACCTTCATTTATTTTAAGCCATTAACAATAACTCGGTGCTTTAATTAAGGTTGTATTGAATAAGTAATCACATATTTTTAAGTCTTAAATAGTTAGGTACAGTCAAAATGTAAAATGTTGTTCTAAATATTTAAGTATAAAAATTCTTATGTTATATTTCAATAAGAATATCGTTTTTAAAATTATTTATTCAAACCTAAACATAAAAAAATAACGTTGAAAAATAATTCAATAGATATTTTCTACCAACAATTCAACATTGATAAAAGAAAAATAACATTAAAATAACAATATTTATGAACCATTAGGTAGTCCATTAACTACTTCAACGGGAGTCTTAACTTCAGTACTTTTGGGAAGCTCACTTTTAGACTTTTTATGAACTACTTCGCCTTTGCTATGGGGCCTTTTTTCAGACTTTTTTCTTTTATCTTCATTTTTACTTCCATCTGATTTGTGTTTGCTTTTATGTATCTTAGGAGGTAGCCCACTTTGATCTGTACCTTCTGCTACTGCTGGTTGTATTTTTTTTACTTTGGGCTTATTACTTTTGTCACTTGATTGCTTAGTATCTTTTGGTTTGCTGTGTTTACTTGACTTTTTATCAGGTTTAGTTTTGACCAATTGAGTTGGTACATCAGTTTTTGATTTTGGAGATATTTCTGTTGTAGTAACATCAATTGTTTTAATACCGTTAACAATAGATTTTAGATTAGTTTCTTTGTTTTCGGTATTGTTAGTATTTTGAACAGAAGCTTTACATTTTTGAAGTTCATTCTGTAGGAAGTATATAGTACTCTGCATTCCTTCTACATCTTCATCTAAGTCTTGTAAAAATTCATCCAATTCTAGTAAAAATAAAATAAATGTATAATTTAGTTATTGTATACAATAAAAAAACAGGGACATATTTTGAGGGTTATGGACATGATTCCTCCCTTTGTAGCTTTATTAATTTTTCAATTTTATGAATAATAAAATAAAATAAAATTTGATTTTTATGTTATTACATTTAGAATTATAATATTATCAAACTACCTGACTTAAAGGTATAGAAGGTATTTGTTAGTCTTGTAAACATCTACTGAATCAATTAATATATTATAGGCATTAAATAATACTCATCTATTATGTTACTATGTGAATTTATTCAAATTAAAAAAAACATTAGTATTATGTAGAATGCCATGGCTACACTGTTATATTATTTAATATCATGAAAGTATAATTACATTTTTTTATCATATCTTGGAGATTTAAATGAATCAAAAATATTATATGAATCACATAAATTTGAATTTTGTTTAGTTCAAATATTCCAAAAAATCTTCAATTGAAATTACAGTTGTGCAAGGGGTAGTAAAACAAAATTAAGTAATTCCCCTCTCCCGTTTCTAAAAGAATGACCCCGAATAAAAGCAATTGTGAGCAGACCTTAATGACTTCAAATAACTAGAGATAATTATAGACACCTCTCTCAAAGTTCAAAGTTAAATATCAGAATATATTTTCTACTACATTATAAACTTTCAACAATTCCAAAAAAAACACAAATCATTGTATAACCAAAACTTTTAACGCTCCTCTAATAATTTTAAATCATTAAAGAATACAAATAAAACACAGGAAGACATATTTGTTATTCAGCTTTTACCTGATTGTGATTTTTTAACTTCTTCACCAAAGTTTTTCTGCAACGCTAATTCACCTTCAAGTTTAGCTACTCGGCCACTATTTACTACTTTTCCAAGTTCTTCATTTTCTTGATACAGCAAACGACATTTCGCCATCAATCTCTTTCCAGTATTACTGCCAACATTTTTATTTGATTTTGAATTTATTTTAGAATTTAAACTAATGTTAAGCTCAACTCACCTATCTGGTGTAAATTTCCAGGCATTCAGTTCTCTCTGGGTTTCTTCTAATCTAATTTTTGTAGCACAAAGGTCTTGTCGTAATTTTTGAATTAAAAGGTTTACTGCCGGATCTTGTAGTGAACATTTGAGTGAAGATAATGAATTGTTTTGAATAGAATTTCGCATGGCTGACAATTGTGCCTGAAAAATTAATACTTTAATTTTTTTAGAATTTTTAGAAAATTAATTGAAATCACAGTTTATAAATATAAATTGGTTTACATATTATCTAAATATTAAAAATTTAAATAAATGTGATACATATGAAATAAAAAATCATAATTATATATTACAAATGTACATGTATCATAAAAATTATTAATTTATAAACAGAATATTATGTCGAAATACTAACAGCATAATCTTGTATTTCTTGTTCTTTAATAGTCAATTTTCTTAGCAAACATTTTTCACGTAAAACTAATTTGCGAAATTCTTGGTCTGTTCGCTCTCTCTTGTCACACAAAAGGTTACACCTAATACATATTGTCGCTGAAAAAATTGTACATTTCAAAATGATCATGTCAATTAGATAATAATGAGATTTAATAGGTGCTCAACTGTAGATCGATTGAGACAAACCAAACATGTTTTTTTACTTACGAACATGAACTCCCCAAAAAACACTTTTGTAGTGACCTACCTTTAAAAGGTAAAATACCCACAGTCTGAAGGAAAAAGCTTAATTTGCAGTCAATGTCGAATAACAACAAAATCATAAATTTGTTTTTTATATAAGTAACCGTAAAATGTAAATTGATTGTTTATCACTTTTTCGTATAAAGTATGTAAATAAAAATGTGAAAATGTAATTTTTCTATGCATTTCGCATATCGCAATGAGAAAATAGTACCTTCGTTCGCCTTTGCTTCTAAAACGCGAACGCGCGACATAGCGTTTTTATACATATCGACAATACGCTGCCGCGGCAATCGGACCATATTGTCATCATCAACGATGTCCACTTGTCCAAAACCTGTTCGATTTTCTTCGACCATATTTTCGCACAAGGTCGCACCAAAATAGTATATAAAACGCTCAATTAGAGTAGTTATGAAAACACTTCAAACGAAACAAGTAGACACTTCCATTAACAAACGGACGATTCTCTCAGTGAATTCACGGTTCATCTATCAAACACAACATACGTGGGGGTTACATATTATGTGTTCACAATAAAGCAAGTGAAACTTGAATTTACTGGAAAAGCATTTCATAAGAACAGAAAAGTGTTACTTGTAAGTTGTAACATGTAAATAGTAATTTAAAATATAAATAACAAATCGGAAAACCTTGTTTTGATTTCAACCAAACTATATTATACTAGACAAGATTCAAGAGGTTTGAACTCAGAAGTAAGTCGAACTAAGAACAACAACATAAATATTCACTATTCACTATTCAGAAGTTGGTACAATTAGCGCAGTTATGTTGAGGTTAAGTGCTTATCACTCAGTTTTTCCCTGGACCACGGTTATGTTGAGATATCAGCTCCATTCTCCTCTAATCATCATGGTTGAGATAATCATAGATCGCTTGATATAAGTTAATTATTATTATTTGATATTTCTGATATTCAGATTTCAGACGTTCTGTGGATGTATAATGGATTAAGATATAATTATATAAAGGATAAATATATAGTTAAAATATAATTTAATTATTCGCGTTCTGTGTTTCTGTAGTGACTGCATGATGCACAATATAATACTCCACGACATTCCACCGAGTAGATGAAATTTCATTTCAGCTAAAATTATGTATAATTTCTTTTATTCTGTGCTTTATTGTGGTAGTTTATGAGCCTTCACAGTTCAATTCACAATCTGCTAGTTTCTTATTTTTTGTTAAACTATTCAATTCTTGTTGTTGTGCTACCGACCAACCAAAATAAACAGATAGTAAAATGAGTATCCGAAACGTTTTTAATAGAAATCTAAACTTGAAGTATATACGGGTTCAATATCTTGTTCAGCGGAAAATATGTCGACAATTAAGTGTTCAAAGTATAAAATATCAAAATTATCCAAATGTCCACTGTTCAAACATACATGGAATTGGTGACCATTTGCTCCACAACACCAATGCTACTACTACTATATATCCATCTTGGAAATGGTTGTTAGCAATTTCACTTTTATACGCTGGGTACGATAGTCAAAGTGAGTTAAAAGTTATTATTATTGTACTGACTTGCAATTTTGAATCATTTTATTTTATTAATTTTACCACAAATAAATATAATGTCTGTTTAATACATTTTGTTGACAAAATGTTAAAAATTGATTAAAATATGTTGCCTTAAAAAAAATTGATTAAAAAATATTATTATTATCATTTCTAATGCTGAACACATTTTTATCCAATAAACAAATGCTTCAGACACAGTTATTAAACAACTAATGTTTTGACAAAAAACTCAGATGTAGCTGATGGGTTGTATTTTTGTAGATATATTTGACCTGATAAACCAGGGATCAGCAGAAGAATTAACTAAGTAACCTACTTCATTATTATTAGAAATGTTGACATTTTAACTTGATATTCTAAATTTTATTTTCAGATTTTTAAAAGATAATTCTAAGGCAGCTAATAAACTTCATTTATTTGGATGGGCTCCTTTACATGTGGCTGCAGCGAATAACAAACATGAGCACTTGGCAGTCTTATTAAAATCTGGAGCAGATCCAAATTTGAGTGATGGTTTTTCAAACTGTATAAATGTAGCTCGAAAACGTAACATACACCCTTCAGATGGTAAATACATAATATAAATCTTTGCATTCTTAACAATAAAATATATTATATAATTATTTTTTTCAGTTATATCAATAAGAGAAAATCATTTTATACATAATTTCAATGTTAATGCAACATTTCAAGGATTTACTGCTTTACATTATGCTGCATTATTAAATAATATTGAATCATTAAAAGTTCTAATGGAATATGGAGCTGATCCCAATTTAAAATCGGTGTCTGGCCATAAACCTATCGATTTGGTTACTGACATAACAATTTATGAACTACTTGCTGATTATGAAAACGATGTATATTTTAATGTATTGTTGAGTAAAGATATCCGAAAACCAAAATATTCTTTACCCTGTAGTATTTATTGACTTCTTACACACACAGTACACACTTACCATTTATGTATTGTAACCGCTTATTTGTATTATGCATTAATAAACTATATAGTTAATTAATTAATGATTATATTTTTAAATCTCCACTAGCCAATATACTAGTCTTAAACCCAAATATTAATTTATTTTTTATTTTGAGTTTTTTGTTCATTATGTAATAAATAGCTTTTATTATTAATTAAAATGTATTAAGATTTAATAATTATTTATTAAATTTATACTCTCAATATGTTTTACCAGAATTGAAAATAGAACAGACGTTTTAGCAGATATTGGCAAACTATTTTGAGTTAATGATATAATAATAATTGTTAATCAATCATAAATTATAAGCTGTGTCATAATTAAGTATATGTGTAGTGGATTAAAATGATATGTTTAATATTTTTTCCTATACTCAACTGTTCTATTTTTTTGTTTGACAAAATATTTAATGGTAGTAGTTTTAATTAATTAATAAATAATAATAAAAAAAGTAAATGATATTGATTCCTTTAAAAAATGGTTTTTGGATATACTTATTATTATAGGTATCATATTTTTGAGTTTTAATAATAACTATTTTTTTTTTCAGTTTGAACTTATTAAAAATAAGAAGGAAGCAGAAATACGAAAAAATTTTCCTTTAGAATTAAGATTGAAGCAAAAAATTATTGGCCAAGAAAATGCTATAAATGAAGTCTCCTCAGGTTGAATGAATAATAAATTTATTTTTTACCTATTGCTTATTATTATACTTTAATTACTTATTAGCTATCAGACGTAAAGAAAATGGTTGGACAGATGATGAACATCCATTAGTTTTTTTGTTCCTTGGTTCATCTGGAATTGGTAAAACAGAATTGGCTAAGCAGATTGCTAGTTACTTACACAAAAACAACAAAGATGGTTTCATTAGACTTGATATGTCTGAGTACCAAGAAAAACATGAGGTTTGTAAAAAAAAACAGGATTAAGACTTATACATATTTATGAATGATTTTTATGTAATAGGTTGCCAAAATGATTGGCTCTCCACCGGGGTATATTGGATATGATGATGGTGGTTATCTTACTAAACAGTTAGCTAAAAATCCAAATGCTGTAGTATTGTTTGACGAAGTTGAAAAAGCTCATACAGACATATTGACAATATTGTTACAACTATTTGATGAGGTAAGATAAATACTTACTAAACTTTTTTATAATGTGATATCACTTATGTACTGTATGGCTATTTTATAAATAGCATTTATTTAAATAACTTAACTATTCACTTACCCTGTGTCATTAATTATGTTTTTCTTTTTTTTTTAAGACAAGCCTAGACATCTAGGTTATTGGTTGAAAATCTCTACCTTTATTTTGTTTCTTTCGTTCAACTTATCACTTAATCATTTAAAAGCATAATGCATTAATATCTGCAGATTTTAAACTATTTTCACTTTCCATATACACATCTGTATTGTTTTTTTGTACTAGGATAAGCCTTGACAGTTGTGTCTAAGTCACGGATGATAACTATTCAACCTAAATACCTTTACAATTTTGAATTGGTTTTAAATAGTTAAGTGTTCTAATGTTCTGTTGTCTATTTTATTTCATCTAGTTTGTATTTTTCTCTATTCAGATAGAACATTATTCCTTAAAGTAGCTATAAATATCCTTCTATTTCGTTCCAATTTTAATATTTTTAGTACTTTATTTTTGCTATGTTTTCACAACTTCATAAGCACAAATTATCTACTATTTTATTGTTTTTTTCCACCCGTCTGTCTACCCCAATGTTGTACTATAGAGTCATATGACTATATGCAAGCCATAGTAATGTTTATATTATACATTTATTGTTTTATCTCATTACCAAGTAATATTCCTTGAATGGTTATAGCCCAAAATAGTAATCCTTTTTAAGAATGGTTTTTTTAGATCTATTTTAAATGTGTTCTATTTTACAATTAATTAATAAGCTATAATCTATCTTTAATTTAAGGGTAATTAAATGTATAATTTGAATATGATGTATATGTGAATGTAATTTGTTTTATAAAGGGCCGTATAACTGATGGTAAAGGAAAAACGATTGTGTGCAAAAATGCCATATTTGTTATGACTTCAAATTTAGCTAGTAGTGAAATTGCAGAGCATGCCTTAGAACTAAGAAATGAGCAACGTCAAAATAAACTTATAGAAGATAGTTGTGAGAATCATTATTTTCCTTTCATACCTTATAATTTTTAAATTTTTTTTTATATTTAATACTGCTTATAATTATCATTCAATTTAGGGCTATCCGATAAAAAAATTGAAAAACGTGAAGAGGTTGTAACATTTATCTCCAAAAAATTCAAAGATCAAATTGTAAAACCTATTTTAAAAAAACACTTCAAACGAGATGAATTTTTGGGTCGTATTAATGAAGTGGTGTACTTCCTACCATTTTCAGAAATGGAATTGAAATTTATTGTCCAAAGAGAATTGCAATATTGGCAAGAATTGGTATGTCATAAATATTTCTGATGATTAATAGGATTAGAATAGTTAAAGTAGTAGTTTGAATCATCTCCGTTTTTATGCAAGTATTGTTTTTTAATCTAAATTATAAACTACTCCACACAATTATTAAAATTAATTTTGTAGTAAACTATAGAAAGTAAAAATTTGGTGGAGAATAAAATTCTTCCGGTTATAACAAATATGAAATAATTATTATTAAGTGTAATTTTATTTTACTCACTAATACATGGGTACTTACACATAAAATGGACGTGTATAGACCTATAGTGTATAATAAGGAACTATATTTCCTGTCCGGCTCAAATTTAATTTAACTTCAATTTTTTTCAGGCTTTGAAGAAACATAACATACAAATTGAATGGGACAGTGCTGTTGAACATGTTATAATTGGTGCATACGATGTTAACTACGGTGCAAGGTCAATTAAACATGAAGTAGAAAGGTCTGTTGTATCTCAACTAGCTAAAGCTCATGAAAAAGGATTGCTCAAAAAGAACACTGTTGTAAAAATTGAAGCAGATATTACCAAAGGTGATCACGGAAATATCTTCCTTAAGATTTAATAGGAATAACCTCTTAAATATTGAAAAGAGTACCTAATTTCTGTTTGATTGTGATATTGTTTTATTTCATTTGTTATTTCTTCAGTTACTCATATTATATATGAATAAATAAGATAACTAATTATGAGATTATATTATTTTGAAAATATTATTACCTTAATTTTTGTTTTTTCCTTACTAATCATAGTATCATTATAATTAGCTATTTTTTTACAATAAAACACAAGCACATTATTAAAAAAATTGGACAATGGCTTTAGAAGATTCTTGCCAATGACATGAGTTATGATCAACACAATCTACCATCTGCCAAAACTAGACTTGCTATGGTAAAATTATCACTGACAATATTGAATGAATACAGTTCTACAAATTTATACAAAACAGTATTTAAATTTTAAACTCAAGTATAATATTGCTCTTTTTGTTAACTTTCCATGGGCCATCACTCGAGCATAATCAGTGAGGCCCAATATTCTGTTGAGATAAATAAAAATCAAGACACTCTTAATACATAAAAAAAGAATCAATGTTTTGGTGAGAATTAAAATTGTATTTAGTAACACAAGTTATAACTCATAACCTACCTATCTCCCTACCTACAAAGCAATTAAAAAAAATCATGTATTTAATATTATACACCGGTTGAAGCTGATTTCAATATTATAATGTAAATGTTAACTCATATAATAGGTAAGTACCTACCCGAAATAAAGAAAATATCAATATTTGTATGTCTAAATATTATTTTAATATAGACAGATTTTAATTGGTGGCTTTACGTATTATCACAGTTAGCAACCTAGTTTATTCTTTATCTCAGTGGCAAAAATTAAAATAATATATTTTTTACATCTTAAATCGTGATGCCATCTATCACAGGCAGCGTAGTTTTGCGCTGAATTAAAAAACGACAATTTAAAATTGCTGACTAAGCGATACAGCAGCGCTGAATTATCGAAGGCACGGTAACATAATGGTTATTGAGTGTGATAAGAACGGTATACGTATCACGATTAAAGATATATCTTTAATCGTGATACGTATGAACACGACGTGATAAACTGATAAATGATAATAACAAAACAAGAATTATATCACAGAATAATAGAATATCATAATTTAAAAAAATTCTAAAACACCGCACGGCGCACGTCCATGCTCTAAGGATTTTAGTTGTTTTTCGTACGTTATATTAAACCGAAAAATGCCGACAGTCAATATTAAAAGGGATCTGCTCTTTGAGGCGCTTGGAACGACTTACAGTAATTATTTTCAATACATCTGATTGATTATGTTTTAAATATATTATTTTTTCCAGCCGACGAAGAGTTCGACAATTTGTGCATTTCGTATGGACTGGAGCTCGATGAGGTGGTGAGTGTTTTTTTTATCATTATTCAAATAATATATGTTATATTTTACGAAGTGAACAAATTTAGACTTCAGAAAAGCAAATGGTCTCCAAAGAACAAAGCGAGTGTAAATCTGAAGGCGCTTCTGATGATACAATTTACAGAATTGACATACCAGCCAACCGTTATGATTTGTTATGTCTAGAAGGATTAGTGGATGCTTTGCTTGTGTTCCAAAATAAGTAAATCAAAAAATTTCTTGTTATTTAATATCATGAATTCCTTAACATTTTATTAAATCATTTTAGGATGGAATTACCACGTTATAAAGTCATACAGTCTAAAAAACCGTTAAAAGTACTTGTTAAATCAAATGTGAGTACAATTCTATTATAGATATGAAAATTGATTTGAATGATTAATCATATTTAGGTGTTTGCTTTTACATCACTTACATTTATTTGTTAATGTAGACTAAACAAATTCGGCCATATGTTGTCGCAGCCGTATTGAGAGATGTTACTTTAAATTCAGCAAGATATGCCAGTTTCATAGACTTGCAAGACAAACTACATCAGAATATTTGTAGAAAGCGATCCCTTGTTGCTATTGGTACTCATGATTTAGATACAATTCAAGGACCGTTCACGTATGATGCTCTGTCACCAGAGGATATAAAATTCAGAGCATTGAATCAAACAGAAGTTCACAGTGCTGCAGAACTAATGGATATTTATTCAGTAAATAAAACATTTTAGAGGCTACTATAAATCTGACATTTAATTGACTTTTCTCCTTAGACACATGCTCAATTGAAACAATATTTGAGCATAATTAAAGATAGCAGCGTGTATCCAGTCATTACAGATAATAATGGAGTAGTACTATCAATGCCACCAATTATTAATGGTCATCATTCTAGGATTACTTTAGAAACCAAAAATATTTTCATTGAGTGCACAGCAACTGATTTAAAGAAAGTATGTACATCTCTTATTTCAATGTTGTTATTGTAAAATTGATGAATTCTTTTTTCCATTAAGGCCAATATTGTTTTGGACACAGTTTTGTGTATGTTCAGTAAATACTGTTCTAATAAGTATACAGCAGAAAGGTGTGAAGTTGTGTACCCAGATGGGGCTGTAAAATTGTACCCAGAATTGAAATATCGCAAAGAAACAGTGAATCGTAAAAAAGTGAACTCATATTTGGGGATAAGGTATTATAACATTTATAGTACAGATATAAAGAATACCCACTAAAATTAGTAATTTGTAGTGAAAATTTAGACAACCTGTCCTCTGCCTTATCTTCCATGTGTTTGAAATCGGCTGTTTTGAAAGAATCTGATGTGGTTGTCGTTGAAGTGCCACCGACTAGACATGACATTATCCATGCATGTGACTTATATGAAGATGTAGCTATTGCTTATGGTTATAACAATATACCCAAAACATTACCAAAAACAACTACAGTAGGCTCTCAACTGCCAATCAATTCTCTGTCTGATAAGATCAGAAATGAAATAGCGTATTGTGGCTTCAATGAAGTACTAACGTTCTCCTTAGTAAGTTTGTGAGTTATTATTTTGAACATTATAGACACTAATTAATATTTTGATATTTTAAGTGTTCAAAAGATGATGTCTCAACAAAAATCCGGAAACCATTTGATACTCAACGAACTGTATGCATAAGTAACCCAAAAACATTGGAGTTCCAAGTTGCGCGTACTAATATTTTATCTGGACTTTTGAAAACAACCTCAGCTAATAAAAAAATGCCTTTGCCTATGAAATTGTTTGAAGTAACAGATGTGGTATTTAAAGATGTCACCAGTGGTAAGTTATTACATGCAATATTTATAAGGTAAGGTTGCTAACTGTTTATCTATCATTGTAGAAGTCGGTGCCCGTAATGAAAGACATGTGTCAGCCATATATTATGGTAAAACCCCTGGATTTGAAATTGTACATGGCCTCATGGATCGAATAATGCAAATGTTAGACATAAAATTTTCTGCCGAAAGTGGCAATACCTATCAAATAAAAGCCGCTAATGGTAAACATATTAAATAATAATTAATAAATATTAGCTTGCATTACATGAAGTGTTGATATGACATTAATTATTTTTATTTCAGATGAGACTTACTTCCCTGGTCGTTGTGCACAAATAATTTATCAAGGGAATGTCATTGGATTAATGGGTGTTCTGCATCCGGAAGTGATTTCTGCATATGAACTAACCATGCCATGTTCTGCATTTGAATTCAATCTTGAACCATTTTTGTAAAATTGATAAATAAAATGTTTATTTATTTTTGAAATTGGTTTTATTTTAACTATAGTTTTTGTAATGAGCTTGTCACTTGTAAAAATATGATTGAGTATTCAAAAAAACTTTAGTTGATACAATATTTAAATCTAAAACAAATAAACTTTTTTTTATACATTTTATTACCAAAAAAAAAAAAATTTTAATAACTTTGTTTAGTTAAATTATTTTTTGTAAGGTTTTTATATTTATGATTGATAAACTTTTAAAATATTACTTAATGCATACAATGTGTACATGTTAAAGTTAATATTCTTATCATTAATTAGTTTGACTGCTTTAACATATAACACAAGGTATAAGAAAAAACAATTTGATGTATTCAGATTAGGAAAATATAATAAATCAGTAAATTACCTCGGGAACTAATATTACCTTCTTAAATAATAAAGCACATAGATCACATAAAAATTTGCTTTTTCATACTAACATTGATCATACACAAATTAATTTAATTTCTCTAATATCCTTAAATTTTTGTTTTAAATGTTGCAGTTATGGCTACATTACATTATAGTTTAACCAATAGAATGGCTTAATGCCGTTGATGTCTGTCTAATTTTGAGTTATACGTCAAACATCTATTTATATTGATACAAACCTTAAGCAATAAACCTCAAACACCAGCTGCCAAAAATGTACCCACAATGAATAAATATCCCTGGTCCCTGGATAACTATTATCGTAATTACACGGGAAGGACCTTACACTTGGGTGTTTAAACATCAAAACAAATTTTTATTAACATTGGTAAAATATATTTGATGCGATAATATGTGCATATTAGGTCAAATAATAATAATAATAATAATAATCATTCCATGTAAAAAAATATTCACAGAATGTAAAATAATTTTCAAAAAAAAAATGCCTAAATTAAAAACTAAAATAATAAGAAACAGTAACAAAAATAAGTCTAATCTATGTTTACATAAAAAAAAAACAACTAATAGGATAAAATTTGAGAGTATTTTGTTAACCTTTACAAAATACAACATAGAAGTCACAAAACAAAAAAAATACTCTAAAATCAAACTATTTGTAGGTACTTGGTAGCAGTAAAAATATACATTTATATAACTTCTACCATACATAAAGATAAACAGTTAGCCCTACTTAGAAAAAGTAAAATTGGTTAACATATTTGTATCATATCCATAGAAAAATAAACATATTAATATCCAACATTTCCTGCAATACATGTCAAAACGTGTCAGTCTTAAATATTGTCTTGTAATGATTCCGGTGGTATATTATATTATTAAATAATATCCACACAAATTATTCCTTTTTTTTTAATACAATATGGAAACATATTGGAATGTTACGCTTTTAACGGTATTGTACAGACTTTTTAATATTTTACTGAACGTTTTTATTTGAATATATTATCAAAGTCGGCTAAAAGTGCTTCTATAACCATATTTTGTTGCATCAGGTCAATTGCCATATTTGTTGATTCAGTTTCTGGCCACATCAGGGTTGGTCCAAAAACAATAGCTAAATTTGGAATGTGCATCCGGTTGAATTCCTTATAACTTGTTACTCTACACACAATACATTTATTAATACAAATCATAGATATATTATTTAATCAATTATATTACTTCAATAAGTGTATTAGCAAGAATTTTAGCGTGTCGTAATTGGGTCCAGGTAACGATTTTGTGATGTCACGAAAATGTAATAACTTGTCTTTACGACTATGACTTGCTAGAAAATAAATATTAAACAATAAATTAATTTTAGCAAAACATGATAAATGTAATAAATTAATTGATGTGTGATCCTCTCAATAGTTAACACCTTTATAAGTATAATCCAATTTCAAAGACAACCAGTTGATATGAGTATAAGAGAAAATATTATGTGAAAGATTTTTACAACAAACAAAGGAGGCAAAGAGGAATTTCATAAGTTATGATTGAATGGAAGAGCATGACATAATATTAAATACATCAATTACCAACTGGGAATGTATGCAATATATTACATATCATTCTAATTTCTAACCTAGCATGGCATGTAATTGAGCTATTATTATTTAATTCCTAAAATTTAAAAATTGATTGAAATCTCGGAACGTTTAAAAAATATTCAAATTGATTTGACACTTACTGCCTGCTGAGATGGCTTTGCGGAAAGCATGATAGGGTATAAGAGGTTCTTTGAGTTCTCTAAAAAACAGCTTAAGAGCGCCAGTTAGAACATGAACGTCCTCTTCTTGGTCAATCACTGATAGATTATTTTGGTCAACTTGTAACCTTATCTTTTGCACCTGAGATAAATTTCCTGAAGCTCGGTACAGACCATCGGTTTTTAAGTTTTCTTCGCTGATTTCAATAGCTGCCACGCAACGTTGTACAAAAGCTGGGACGCGAGGTTGGTCTGTACCAACCACATGTTCCAAAAAACATCCAAATGCATTCTCATCTAAATTAAAAAGCGATGATGTAACAAAATAATTATTGGACGAATAATGATTAAATACCTTTCCATATTCCTTTTTTGACAAGCGATTCCATCGTAGGTCTTCGATGAAAAAATTTCCGAAGACGGGCTTTAATTTTTGTCTGACGTTCTACATTGGATGTCAAATCTTCCATACTTCCTCCATCTTTTGCTTTTACTAACGAAAAAATAGTCATGAAATTATCAATTGCAAAATAGAACCAAGACCTTATCATTTTCATGTCATAACATTCAAATAAAAAAATGATAAATATTCAATTTGAATACACCAATATTTAAAACATTACTGTTCATAAAAAAAAAAGATAAAATAAAATCAGTGAATGGACTGCAATATTCATTAAACTCAATTGATAAACTCTACTGTTTTCCCTGTTTCATTATCTGGACCCTCTGCACAGGATATGACTATATACAATAAATTAAACTAGTGTATCCTAAAAAAAAAAACAAAACACATATTTTAATTGAAACTTACATTTAAGAGATTTGTTCCTATTTAGTTTGTTTTTTTTTTCAGCGTCAAGTAAGTCTTTGGTACGTGTATTTGGTGAACGAGGACATCTGTCAAAGTTACATGGCTAAAAATAATAAATACATTTTAGTCAAATATACATTTCTTTAATATATATATATATATCTAACCAGATTGGAAATAACTGCTTGTATTGCATAGAGCCATGACTGGGCTTGGACGTTACATTCGTTTTGGAATAATACTTGAGTTCCTAAAACAGTACTGATAACATAGACATTTTTACGGCTAGATACCTTGTCTGCTGGATACACAAGGGCACCATTCAAATCTACACAAAGTTCTGGTCGTCCATTTCCATTTTTCTACAAAATAAAAATATATATAAATATATGTAATATTATACTTTAGTTTAACAGACTATTAATTTACCATTGCTACAAAACATTTTGCGTCTTTGAAGAAAAGCAAAAACAATTCAGTAAGTATTACATGTGATATCGTCCAATTCTTTCGAAGCCTCTTTCCGTTTTCAGTAATTTTAGTTCGATTTAAAGGACCTTCTTTCAATACGCACTACAAGGGTGGTTAGTTAATAAGTTATGTAGAAAACAATTGAAATAAATTTAACATTAAAAAAAAAAGTAATTACCATATGCCCATCCCATAATTGGGGCCAATTCTTAGGAACATTTACTTGAGGTGACAATGGGCTCCTAAAAATTAAATTAATATAATTAATATTTTATATAGTATGTAAACAACAATAAAAAATTATACAATTAAATAAAATAAATTTTTCAAATTACTTTAAATCCGAAGAATCGTTTTTCTCACTATTATTGCTTTTGTTTGATTTCAAAGACGAAGAAGAATCTTCTAAGTCTACTTTAAGAGACGATGGGCTAACATTAGATGCATTGCTATTACTTGTCTCAGGCAATGTCCAAGATGATTCTTTACTGTTTTCTTCATAGTAATACGACCGCCCCTTAAAATCTTTTGAAGAGAGCCACTAAACATAACAAAATATACTGGGTTAATATGGTATGTCTTGATACGGTAGTTAATCTAGGTAGTAAGGTTAAGTAAGTCAGTCAAGCAGTTGAAAATATAAACAACAATTTCTGACTTTTTGTATTTATTCTTATGAAATTTCATAATTAAATGTATGATTATTTATATGTATGTAATAATCAATCAAGATATTACGAGTTTTTCTCAGTAAACCTTAGTATTCTGTGTAGGGAAAATTAAATTAATTAACAATCAGACGATTTTTTACTTTTAAAAGCTTAAAGAAATTGTTAGATTATTTTTTGAACAGTTTTTTAATTTTTAGGCACAGCGTGTGGACAACACCTGCTCGTCTTCAGACGAAATCCCGTCCAAAGCGTTGTCCATGAGCTCATTTTTCCAAGCCATTATGTCTGACCACTTGGGTCTAAACGAGACGCAAATTTCATCGTTCGACGTTTCTGAATGCGGCAGAGTACGATCGTCGTCGTCGACGTCCAACGGCAACGAATCGTGGCCGTCGCCTGGTTGCCGGTCCATGCTATAATATTCAAAATCCGAAACGCTGGTGGTGGAGTCGAAATCGAATAAATTATCAATCGTCGAGTCTAAGACCGAGTCTCGGTGAACACTAAACAAATTCCACGGTTCCGACTCTTCGGCCACCGTGTGCCGCAGACATTGCAACCATCTCACTACGTCCGCTTCCATGGGAAGTATAATGGTCGTCGATAAGGAAACCGGCGCGTTCAAGAGTCGACGCAACACTGTCTAATTGACACATACTGACATCCATTCGTGCGTGGTACTTATTAGTAGTTTTTTTTTATTTATTACAATTTACATTACACAATTAAAACGGAGATGACGACGACAGCACAGCGAGCAACAACTATCGTGCTTTTAACTAACAGACAGAACGATGTATGTATATTATACGTAGCCTGCGTGAAACGTTTAAAATAGATTCGCGAAGTAGTAGGTATATTCGTTATCGTTTTTGCCGTGTGCCTGTGTGTTGTTGGCATTTAAATGTCATGCTCTAACCTATTATTATAATACAAATATATTATTATATAATATAAAAAAGACCAAAATGCCTGTAACCTTTAAACACTAGTATACAAACGAGTTATAAAGGATTTAAGTTTTTTAGAGCTTTTTTTATTTGGGTATTAAAAAAATATATTTAGGTCCCGTCAAGAAAAAATTATTATTGTGACAGACGATCAGAATTTAGAGCAAAATAATTTTATACACGCGACAAAGAATTATTTTTTTATTATTTTATGAATGTATGATGTAAATCTAGTTTCTTTCAACGTTGTTTTGAATAATATTAAAAATAGTAATTAATGTCGATATTTAAATACAATATTAATATACATATAACTTGAAATATCTATAAAAAAAACTATGTTTATATATTTTTTGGTTATATGCGGTAAACTACTTGAGAGAAACCTTGTTTTAACATTTTATAATTGTATAATACGTCATATTTCACTAAAAACTAATTTGCAAATTCTCATGATTTTCATACGTTTTGTCAAATCTGGGCCGATAAATTTTACCGAGTAAAAAAATCTGAGATAGCTTCAGGAAACCATGCTTAAAATATGCAAATGCTAAAATCTAAATGACCGACTTATACGTATCATATAAAAACATGGATTAATATAATTATTAATATTATAGACTGAGGGAATCGATGAATGTATTGATTTTATAATAATACGAATGAGTTTAAATTTTAAATTTTTGTGGCAATCACCTTTTGGAGCAGTAAAAATGAATACTTTAAAATATTTTCTGGTAAGAAAGTTTGTCTAGTTGGTATTTTGGAGGTATCAAAATTAAAAAATCAAGTTTTTTAATACTTAGAAAAACCGAGAATCACGACGAAATTCAGTGAAAATTTCAAGTATCTACACGTTTTATTATATTAATAATATTGAGTACTTATTTTTAAATCAGAACAAAATAACAAATTAATTTAGACAAAATTGATTTTGGGTAAAAATTTCCATTTTTCCATATTTTTGGTTTGTTTTTCTCAATTATTGCTTTAAATATCAACTGGATTCACTTTCTTACCAGAAAAGATATTGAAGCTTAAAATTGAAGCATTTAATTTACTATAAATTGTGTATACAAAAAAAAACACTTCGTTGTAAAATCAATACATTCTGTTCAAAATCTAAATAGAACAAAATGGATTATTCTGTAAGTAAAAGAAAACGTAATGTTTGTAAAACCAATAAGTACATTCATCGCACATAATCTAACAAAATGTATATTATGGTAGGTACTTATTAAGATTTTCATAAATTATTTATTGAAATAAGAACCAAAATATCTTTGGAAGGTTATATACTTATTACCAACATCATGGTGTTTTCTGGACAATCTTAAGTGATTCTTAAAAATAATAATATTTTGCACCCAGCTCTCATGTTTTGTGACATATATGTAAATATATATTGTAAATATACCTATGGAGTTCAGATTATACAATTTTTATTAGCCATAAAAAACGGCCCTAGTTATATCATTTTTGTCAAGTCCTACTACCAAACAGTGTTTTTACATCACTGAACACAATACACCTTCTTTCTACATAACCATGCATTTACGATTCCGATCTTTAATTTTAATAGTTAGATGGAAAATTTGATTACATAAATAATTAAAGCACATGTTGACACAATCAACTAAAATTATGTTGTAATTTAACATTTTTAAATTTGAGTCAAATATGTTAATTTACACTAAATAAATGTTGAACTCCCCAGCAAAAAAATGTAATTGGCAAGGTTGCCAGAATACTTTATGTTCTGTATGAAAAAAAAATGTAAAAAAGTGCCAAACAATCAACTCTGCTCAGAAACGTTTTTAGAGTGTAAAAATGATTACTTCTATAAAAATTGTGATACCACATTTATAAAATGCAGTAGAAATATTGGTTATAGAGAAATACAACCATATACTTAAGTTTATAGATCCAAGCATTCAACTATTTGAGGAGACTCATATAATATGGTCACTTTAAATGTAATAATAATGTAAATCAGCTACCTGAGCGTGGTGGGATCTATCTTGACCATTAAAAACTATTTAAATTTATATATGTTGAATTGAACCAATTGTATTGAAACTTTGTTTATTGACATGGAGTAATTTTTTTAAACTACTAGAATTGTTTAAACTTTTTTTAATATTTAAAACAAAAAAATAATTGTATGAAATTGCAGTCTAGATTTTTAAGTTATGGTGTTCTTAATACTTGTAAGTCTATAAATAATTCATCTTTATTCATATCTATCTTCAAGGTTTTCTTGATAGAAAAACTAATGCATCCGTCTAACCCACTTATTACCCATTAACGTAAAGTTTACTTATGTAAATATTGTTTTTCGTTTAATTAAAATTTAATTAAGTAAATAGTCACATAATTAAAACAGAATAATAGTTTATAGGTAAAGTTAATTTCTTTCACAATTATTATTTATCAAATTATCATATATATTTTAGAATGATAAATTGTATCAGATTAATTGTACAATTTAGAAGAGTGCACATATTAGTGCACATATTTTCTCTCATTCTGACCCACTCATGATATTGACCAAATGCATCGATACAAAATCAACATTTTATAGTTTTTAAATATTTTTAGAGAAAAACCATACAAATTTTGTATTTTATTTATTATTTGACTCATACAATTATAAGTAAAATTCTACAATTTATCTAAACATATTGGCTCTCTAAATATATGATATGACATACATAATACTATATTATAGTCTTATACCAATAAGTTTAAATCTTCATTGTCAACCATTAAATGGTAGTCAAACCAAAACTAAGTTCAAAATGACATGACATTATCAACAATGTACTTGTCAACAATGTAAGTTAGTAGTTATCTACTCTCCATTGTGTTAAACTGAACTACTAAAACAGGGCAACTTATCTATATTCTATACCAAATACTATCATGAATATACATTTAACAACATTTAATTTAGAAAATGAAAATCATAATTCTATTTCATGAGATGTGATGATAAAGCACCAATAATTTTTATACACCTATATAATGTTTCAAAATTCAATAATATAAAAAATAAGGTCATAAACAAGGAGAATATTAACAATATTGGAGATCTGAAACCAATGTTTTACATTTTTCATATAAATTGTTTACTGTATCATTTAAATATTTTAGACCTATCTCATTTTTAAACAGTTGTTTTCAGCTTTCTGTATCAAAAGATAATTTCTCAACTCAAAACATGATGCAATTGAGCACTCTTGGTTATTTGACAATACAGAAATAACAGACTGATTGCAGATTTATTATTTCAACATTGTAGAATATAACTAAAAATAAAATTAATTTAAGGTTTTGACTACCTATTTAATTAGGTATTACCAATAAATTTATTTATTTATTTAGTGTATAGTCAACAGGCATGTTATTATTACAAAATTTTACATAATTGGCGCCGATACTGCTATAATAGCTCAAAAGCTTACCTTTACTATTTATAAAATTAAAATTAATTTACATTGTCTGATTTGTATTCTGGAAAAAAATTGAACTCAGCAAAAACTTGTCTATAGATCGTAAGAAACACTTTGTAAAAATTAAATGTTATATTATCGTGAACATTAATTGAAAAAATGAGAATATGACATTTTTCAAATCATAACTAAAATTAAAACGGAAAATGTTTCGTAGGATCTACAGACATGTTTCTGCTGAACTCAAATAGTTTTTCAGAATCAAAATTAGAAACTTTAATTTTGTCAAAACAATAAGTAAATTGTTTTAAAATGCATGTAATACATTTTATATTGTTATTGGCATGTGCATGTGCATACGAGTGGTACCCGCATTCAGTTTTACTCACCCTAACAATCATTTACAACTAACACATTGATCCTGAGCGGCTAAGACTAAATTAGAAATTGCCTAAATGTTAAATAATACCCTTAGTGAGGCCCCTTAATATTCTTTTTCATTTTTTAGTTTATAATTAGAATTAAGTTATTGAGATAATTGTTTATATTCCTTCTATTAATAATCTAGAAATTAATTTGTAATTTTGTAGTTTTTGTACGGTTGTTTTCAAGAAGTTCTTATATTATAATAATTTTAAGACTACGGTTTAAGTAAATCTTAAATACCTTATCTTTGGAACAATTAATATTAAAAAAGTATGATTAACTTTTTATGAAATTTAAAAAGAGAATTTTCTTAGTTATGTTGAACACAATATTAAGAATTGACAAAAAAGTGAAAATATTATAGAAATCCTAAGAATTAACAGAGACAATTACAAGAACTCCGGAATTTATACCTTATTAAAAATAAGAATGATAAGTAGTCGACGCCAACGAGATTTAAAAGAGGAAGTTTTTTTCTTGAATAATATCAAACACATTAGATCAGATTCATAAATAGCAAGTATCTAACCTTATTGAACGTTCTATACCGGGTGAGTAATGGCAAGGTGAATGACCTTCATAGGTATAGGCACATCTCGGATATCAACTAAAATAGACTCAATTATATTGTTTACTTGCTTAATATCAGAAGATAATCTCTCCGGTTTGGGTTAGTTTACTCTATGGGCATAATATAAAATTAATTACTAGCCCATTTACTATGTTCATTAATTTCATTAATTATGACATCATTGGAACAATTTAAATTACTAACAGAGTTTGTTAAAACTATCCACTTCAACAAGTAGTTTTTTATAAGAATTTTGAGCTCAGGAATTTCTTTGAGATCTTGATTACAGCCAAGACAAAGAATTTAAGCAATACATTGACTATTTTCCATACTAAGAGACATTTTAGTTCAGTTGCAGAAGCACTTTGTATGAGACATCGCAGAACATCCATCACATTTGATAGGAACATTAAGACCTCAAAATATGAATTATAGGTACCTATAGCATATATCATTAGTCATAATAAATAAGTTTATAAATCACTTATTACCGTGTGAATACAATATAGTTTACTGACTAGTTTAACTGCCCTAAAGAAATACCGATCACAGACAAGAACTGCTGATCAGAAACTGATTTTACTTCATCTAGGGTTCTTAGTATAATTATTATTAGAGCAAATATGAATTTGCCATAGTATTTTATGAACACACCTTATACGTGAAATTAATGTTTACCTTTGCTCCAGTTGATTGATTTACAAAACATGGCAATCCAGAGGTAGGATCAGCTTGCATTATCCATCCTACAGGTGTCTCACTAATAGGTTTAACTTTTGTTCTTAGTGGTGGAGTATTATCATTAGGTTCATATTCTTCATCCAATTCAGCTAATGGAGATGAACTCTGACTTTGACTACCTGAATTAATTGTCCCAGCACTACTATGCCCACTTATCTTGTCTTCCTATATTCATAGACAAATAAAAATTATGAAATAATATGTAGATAATAGATTAGTGTGCATGACAAATAACATACATCAACTATACGATGTTTAGGGGAAGACCAGGAACGTTCAAATGATTCACCATGGCCTGGAGTAACATCTAGAATTGGTGGTGAAGAATTTCGTATTGGATATCGTTTAGAATAAGAATCCACCTTGAAATAAAAAAGTTGTTAATAAAATGGTAATACAAAAAATATAAAGCAAAAGTGTAAATGAAATAAAAATTAGGTCAATGTATCTAATACCAAAAAAATAAACTACAATGATCACTTAAAGTGAAACAAGCTGCAAGAGAAAATAATACAGTTGATTTTCATGGTTAATTAAACCAGGCGAATATTGTTTTCCTAAGTTTTTTTTTTTTATATAAAGTAGCCTGTTTAACGTGCAATGAAAATAATATTGTGAAAGTAACATGTACAAAATTGATTATGCCAAGTGAAAACTGTTAAATAATATAGCATCCCAATTTAGAGCCATTTGTTTCAATCAGCTTTTTTTTAAATATTAGTTCATAACTAGGTATACTTGTTTTTAATAATGAAATTAATTAATCTTAAATATAAATATTTATCTGTGTGCTTGTAAATTATAAATATTTAATAGGTATCTGAAATAATAATTTGTTAGAGATTCTCTTTCACAATATTAATATGCTATGAATGATTTTATATCATTGTTGATTGATGTTAATAACAACATATCCCACCTTAAGAACGATTTAAAAATGAATATTTAGAATGAACTTATTTAAGTTCCATAAACATTTGTAAGTTGCGCTTCTTAATATGTATCCCTATTATTTTTTTCTACTGATCACTATAAATATAATATTTTTACTTATCTAATATTATGTAACTTTGTTATGAATGTACTATGTATTCTGTGGATCTATAAGTCTTTGTAGGTACAGTAATCTCAATATATATATATATATATATATATATGAAGAGTTTAAACAAATACCAAGAAATTCAAGCTAATATCCTAGTGTTGTAGAAACTAAATAAACAAATAAATTATACATTATTGATAAAGGAGTATTGAGTATACACTCAAAAACATAGTTCATAAACTTATTGTATTTTAAATAAAGATAATGTGATTATAGTAAGCTAATTTGGATAAATAACTTACACAATGACGTACACATAATATATGTATTATCTATGAATAACTCGATGAATAATATCTGAAAAACTATGATACTTTTAAGTAACTTCTTGACATCTTACTGGCAACCACACAGAAATTTAAATTTTCATGTCCAAATAATTTATGATAAAAATGTATTTTTTAATCAACAAATTTCTTATTAATTAAATATTTCAGTTGTGTCTTAAAAAACTGCTATTCTTACTAATGTATAACTATAGATTTAAAATTTAAACAACCTCAATTTGAAGCAAAATGGTTCAATGGCCTATAAATAACCTATTTTTTTTAACAGTTTGATACTATTACTGACTATTTGTCACTATTAGATAAGTACAAATGTACAATGACTAATTTGCTTTTAGTTTAGTTTAAGGCGTTGATTTTATGATAATTGTTTGAAATTTTTTAAAGGTTAAGTTAGTACAATTAGTCTAGTTAGGTTTGTCTAATGAATATTTCAAATTAAAATTCTTACTCTACGGTTTCTGGCTAAAGATGTTCGTTTTCTAGATCCATGCATCCTCAATGAATCTTGATCACTATCAGTAATGCCCAATGAATCACCATCTAATAAACTATCTGTTGAGCCACCTGTAAGATCTGCACTAGTACTATGAGCATCAGGTGTAGATATTGATTTAGATAAAACAGAATCACTAATCATTAGTGATTCTTCATCATCTGGTTTGTTTTCTTCAATAATATTTTCGTTGGTCATTATGTTTTTAGCCCATTTATCACGTTCATGTTTTGTTTTAAAGCTACCAGTATAACAAAGTTTATTTTTAGGAGTTTGTCCATTATTACCTAAGTCGGGTTTTTCAATGGCTTTTAGATTTTGAATTGATATTATAGCAGGCTTGCGAATGTTTTCTAGTAGGTTCTGTACTTTAGAAGGCTCGTAAGTTATTGTATTTTTGTTCAAAGGCAACGATTTTAGCTCAATTTCTTGAGCAAGTTCTTCTAAAGAGCTGGACAATTGTAATGAAAGTTGCTCTTTAATATCACATTTTTTAATATTCACCTGACAATAGCCAGAATTTTCTTGGTTAACTGTAACTACAGTTTTATTTTTTCGGTTTAACACTGGAGACAATATGTTATTTTCATTTTGAATATCAACTCGTTTAATATCACTTATCACATTATCAACATTCAAGTCATTGACACTTAAAACGGTGGTGTTTTCTAAAGGAATGTTTTCGTAGGACGGAGTTGACGGTTTTTCAAAAATAGTACGTTTTAGCACTTGTGGTTTTTCTACTATAATTTTCTCCTCGCCCTTGGATAAACTAGGCCTGCTAGGGGCTCGGGGAATTTCTTTAACAAAGGTAGCTGGAACATAAAATGGCTGGCCTGAACTGCGTATAACTTGCCACCAGTCATCGTTAGTTTTTTTCAACAAAAGTAGTTTCTCGCCTTCTTTGATTGATACGCACTTGTTTTCTCTGGTTTTGTACTCAAAGTCATAGAGAACCCTAACCTTAGTGTCGGAAATATCCATTGTGCCACGGTCATTGTAAATTTGACACCTAAAATATAAAAATATTTTTTAATTAAGTCTATTGAAATAAAAATTTTATCAAAATGTACCTAGGGCATTAAGAGTTTTAAATTTTTAACAGTTACGTAACTCTTAGTATCTTAAAAAGAATTAACATTTTGAAAATATATTCTTTTACATGGGCCAATTTGATTCAAGCTACTAGACATTTTTGAAACGAGAAAATTATTTAAATATTTTTTATCATACTAACATTTTTTTTTACTTTGATGAAAGACAACTCTACATTTTTATTTTCATATACCAAAAGAAAATATTTTTTCTTAAAATTCCAATTTTTAAATTTTGGAGGGTAGTTATCTAATTAGTTTATAAACATTTCAAGTTTAAATTAATTGTACGGTGTCACTGGGTTATACTCGGGGTTATCCCACAAATAATTGTTTGACTACTCCACTCATCTAAACTTTTAATACTATTTATGTACATAAAATTATATTGAAAACCACTTTTGTTTCATAATAAATATTTTAATAGATACCTATCTAAAGAACTAAACGGAACAAAAGGAATTCTATTTAATTTTTCACAACAACTTATGATTTTCATTAGCTCGTAATTCTTAATAGTTCAAATTTATTGAACTCTCCTTGAACTTTGAGCTTCTAAGAGTCAACTGAATACTAAATACATACATGTCTTATTGAATATGATCATTGATTACAATTTTTTTTTTTGCTTTGAAAATTACTTAAATTAATAAGTTGTAAAATCTATTAAATTATTTCCATGTAACTAGAGCATAAAATTCAATTTTGGCAGCATTACAAGAATAATATTTTAAAGGCCATTAGTTCAAACTAAAAGATGAAAAGTTTTAGGTGAAAAAAAAAATGTCCAAGTGATTATTGAGAAGGGTGTCAACCGTTTGAAAACTATTATCAGGAGTCGGGTACTTCAAAATATTATAAGCCGCTATCCTAAATCATATATTTAGATTATCATTAGGTATAAGTGTATAATCTATTTCACAAGAAACCAAATGATTTTTGTAACAATCAATAGAACAATCATAAGAAGATACTAAGAAAATTGATAAGTACCTATCTATTGAATCTAAACAGGTAGGTATCTCTTGTGCCAATAAGAATTCTGGGGTAAAATACAATTATTTTTTGAATTTATCAATAAGACAATAACTAGATAAATTATTATCTAAATGATACTAACACAATAAACACTTTGTGATCATAGAGGATTGGTAAGAATTGTCAACGAGGACACCAAACCTATCCAATCATAAGGCATTAGAAGGTGAATTATTGTAGTTCTGTCAAGTATCGTCGATACCATCGTCATCCAACGTAGGGTACCTCATCAATAAATCGAGTAGTTTAATTAAAATTTTTTTTCGTAAACGTTTATCGAGCGTAACACTAAGGGATAGTCGATCTCGGGCCGGAAACCACGAAATAAGGAGTGACGTGAACACGTCCAGGCCCAACCCCAAACGTACAACCCAGTCTGTTGTACAACTACCGTCCGCACCGGCCAAAGACGATGTCCGGTGCACTTCACGGCCGCTCCTTAATGACAATATGGGACGTGATGCACGACCATTTCTTACTACTCACCAAAATGTCACGCGAAAATCCCATTGGAAACACGACCTTGGCCGTCCAACTCCTCTGGATGCACGACGACGGCGTGTGCGGTTATCGCGTACAGACGATAAAACCGGGAGAGGAAAATCAACACCAACACAGAATTAATATCAATGATAGTAATAATAAAATATTGATAAATTGTGACAGTTTATTGTAACGATTGAACGGGTTCTATCGGCACCGGACGCATACGCGGTCGACGTGACTCACTGCTGTGCGATTTATCGTTTCTAATCGACCGTTTGACATCGTCGTCATACACAATATAATATATTTCATGCAATATGCACTATTATTATTATTATTATTATTATTATTATTGTTGTTGTTATCCTGCGACGGTACGCGACGACGGGCGACGAGCGGTAAGGACGTTACTGTTGTGGACGGCGGACGGCGGCCGATTACGCGATTTCTGCGTGCGAATAAATTGCGAAACGCGAATGTGTTACGCGGCGCGATATCGTTGCGGAGGAGTAGCAGGAGAAGGATGGGGAGGAGTGATCCACAGGGCAACACGGCGACCGTGGTAACTACACTCGACTCGTAGCGGGTGAAATGTGAAGAATAATATTATTATCGTCATAATATTTTAGTCTTGTGGCAATGATTTCGTGACGGTGACGCAAGTCTTCATACCCTTCATAATCGTCAGATGGCGTTGCGCTCAACTACCTACTTGTCCCGAGTCCTCCCGATAGTAAAAAACTCGCAAACATACATACATGTTGTTGTTTTGTACATTATCTTGCTCCCAATAATAATAACAACCGGCAAGGTTTATAGATAACAAATAAATAACAATAGTATTATCGTTACAGTTCTCGTGCGATCCACGTCCTGTCATAGAAATATAGAATAAAGATAAGCGTCCTGTACCCTGTGACCATCCGCGACCATTCTTAATAATATTATGCAATTATCTAATATTTTGATTGTTTCGTGCTTTTGAATTTCGTATGATTTCGTATCGGTGTAACTAGAGTTTAATTATTCGAGTTCAACCACTCCGCAGCTGTACACCTGCTGCGGAAAATGGAGCTCCAAGACACTTTTTACAGTAAATCCGAATACGTAGAAACGGTAATATAGCCCGGGGACTGTTGCAGATATACAATATATTTAATACTGTTAACCACATTTTTACAGACTACCGGTAATAAAGTGAGTCGGCAAGCACAAATTTATGGCTCTCAAAATATTATACTGAACGGCAAAGTCATACTGCAGTCGGGTGTCATGATTCGAGGTGACCTAGCTAGCGTTAAAATGGGCAGGTACTGTTTTGTCGGCCGAGGTTCAGTTGTGAGGCCACCGTGTAAAAAATTCAGTGGAGGGTAATGTTACAGTCACTTACAAAGTATAATATTTTTTTATTTTTTATTATTTTAACAATTAACCAAACAAAAAGTGGAAAGCCAAGAGTCCTATATTGATCTGTAATCATTTTTAAACAACATGATCATTTTAATACTCTAAAAATTTGTTAAATTGACATTAAAATATATGTTTTCAAAGATTCCTTTTTTTTTGTATTCAATATAACTTTATTTACAAATTACAATCCATACATAATGGCCTAATAGGTATATGTTATACAAAATAATAATACACATGGATGGCTTTTTGTGCACGAATGCAAAAAAACTGTTCAGAAACGGCACCTCCTACTATAAATATTTATTCTTTTAATAGGTTGGTATATTAGTAATCAGGATGATAAGTGCTAACTTGGTTTAATTTGTTATTACTAGAGGTCGGATTTTTATGATTTTACATATTTGTTTCTAGTTTATGCAGTTAAATGGGAGTGAGAAATCTTTACGAATCACGAAACACAGAATTCACAGGAAAAAATTTATTTTGCATAAAAAAGCATATTTTAGAGGTTAGAGAATATTTAACACGTTAGAGAATATTTGGGAATATTTTTGTGATACCCGGCATATAATGAACATATTTCACGCATATCAGCATTTGATAAATACAATGTTCACTAAATGATTTATTTCCGGATTTTAATAAAAATTAATCTCCAGGTATTCCTTATCGATTGCGAAAGCACAACGGTTATTTCGTTAGCTGTCACGACTATACATCGAACAATATATAGTAATTAATTGTTATTGTAAAATTAATTTAATTAAATATTTTTAAAACCAAATTAATAAAAAATTAATTTAAACTGTTTTTTTTTTTTTATATCAAAAGAATATTTTGCATATTTAAGGACATAAAACATCATATATCTGGTATTTTAAAGGAATATTAAGAGAATATATTGCTTATTTTATGTGACATACAAACATCATATTTTAAGGATTTTAAAAGAATATAAATCCGACCTCTAGTTATTACATAAGGGAGAGTTTGATATCATACAGGTTGATATTTTTTAATAATATTTTGTCGCTAATTGTGATTAAAAGTGAGATGAGTGAGTTTATGTATCCTTAAACTTGATTAGGACATTTGGGTCATCTAGGTTTTTGTTTTGTTCTGGACTTCTGGTATTCGTTATTATAGTCTGGTTTATGTTTAATTTTGTAACTTGAGAGTAAGTTTAGATACCTTCTATGTTATTTAAATAATAGGTGGGTTTGACACAATTAGTATTAAAATTTTAATTTTCTTTTTTGCAAAGTGGTTGTTGTATTTGGAGTTGCTACAGACTTTTAAAAATTTGACATCCATGGTAGTTTGCGGGAGTAATTACCATTGCATAATGCACTTTTTGCTAGGAGATCAAGACTTTTGGTATAAGTGTCAATTTGGTGGTTTCTGTCACAACAGACACATCTGAGGTGGCTGTTGCAGTATGCTCTAGTATGACTGTAGTTTTGTAGTTTAAACATTGGAGTGCATGTTTGTTAATTTTAGAAACTCTATTTTTTTCTTTAGTATAGCATAAATATTTAAGTTTGAATACAGTTTACCACTTGTTCTAAATCAACAAAAAATAGTGGTAAGAGTGTTTCAAAAAAGATCGATGTTGCTATACTGCTACCAGGCATAAACTGGTGACTGCCCAATACAGATTTTAACTTGAATAGAGAATAGATTTACTGTGATTAATTATTTGCTATTTAATATTTTTGACTATATTATATAATATCTCATTACCGAGATTACAATATAATTTTTTTTTATTATTATTTAATTTTGAGTTGATTATTAGGGATGTGGTTATATTTGTAATAATAAATCACGGCATCACTTTCGTTTTAACCTGCGTTGAGGATTTCCTTGTAGTATTGTGGTTTAGAGATATTTTATAAGAGAATTGGAACGATTTTGGAATTGTTTGTAAAAGTGTGTTCAAAAGAGATGTGGTTGCTTATCGATAGTTTTCATATAAAAATTGTTAAGTAGTGTCTAATTAAAGACTATTTGAGTTGACAGTAAATGAAGGCAGGTAGAAAAGTATGGAGTAGGTTAGGAAAAGCGCAAAATATAGACTGCCTATTCCAATCATAAAAATTATAATAATATAGTCATTAATTGTGGCAATATCATAAATATATAGTTTATTCTCAAAGATACATAAATACCATTCATTTCTGGATTCAAAATATTATGCTTATAATTTGTTCTGTCACATCTCGTTTTTACAAATATTGTAGTTTTTCCCTTTTTTTGTATGTCTCACATCAGCCTTAGATCTGTTATTATTTCTAACTTTAAGAACTCACATAAAAATACAATATTTAAATATTTAACTTTAATGATATGAAACTTTAAAAATGACGATAACATTTTTAGAATCACTCTCCTCGTCCGAAAAAAATGGCCTTCATAATGTATGAATATTGACACATTTAATTATTTATGCTATAGATTTACTTATTTTGCACTTCAAATTGGAGATCATGTACACATTGGTGAACAAAGTGTTATTCAAGCAGCTATCATTGGGTCTTATGTACACATTGGAAAAAATGTTGTTATTGTAAGTGTATAATATGTATTATATGTGACTTGTCGAGGCGCGGCCTTACACTCAATCTGCGGAAACACTCTGAGTGTATGTACCGGCCGACGCCGCTTGCTCCCGGATGGGTGACCACCCGGGTTTTTAGCAACATATCCTTGCCATCCATACAAAAACACATGTTACAAACCTACTAAACCTATACAAAATACTCCCTACCGTTCCATCCCACACCCAATGGCCTATGTTGCCGCGGATTCACCCTAAAATAAAATATATATCTTACGGTATTGTTATTTGTTACTAATTCTATCATCATTTTTTTTAAGGGTAAAAGATGTATACTTAAAGACTGTTGTATGATTGGAGACAACACAGTACTTGCACCTGATACTGTAGTTCCTTCATTTACACATTATTCTGGTTCTCCAGGCATGCAAATCGGTCAATTACCAGTTTGTACTCAAGATCTGTCAACTGATTATACCAAATCATTTTATGATCACTTTGTTCCGTCTATTGATAATTTATAGGTTTAAGTTATAGATTTTAACACTTCTTTTCATTTAAAATTTATTGTATAAAATAATATATGTTTTGATAATATATAATAATAATTATCTAATTTTGACATGCTTTACAAGTCTGTTTTTTCTGATCTTTTTCAAAATCTACAAACACCTTAGCTGGTAACATGTGTTCCAATAACATGTTGTTCTCAGCAGGTAAGCCCAAACATGCTCTGAGTATGTTTTCAATACATGCTCTCTGGCGGAAGAGAGAATTTATTATTGGAGCTCCTATAAATACAAAATAAATAATTATTTATCTCATAGTTGATAATTTATTAAATACCTACCTTTTGGTACAACAGGGGCTTTAAGTAAGTACGACATAGCAGTGAAGACTGGATGCAAAGGTGTGTAATCTGATTTATCTGATCCAATTTCAATTCTGTTAAAGACGTCCGCAAGTATAAGTAAATCCAATATAAGAGGAGATGCCAATAATGAATCTTCACATGTATTATGTATGACTAATGTATTTATTCCATTCATGAATATTTCTGATGTGTATTCATCCAATGCCCTTTTGGAGTCTTTGACGTATGGCACATACTTAATAACTACACAGTGATCAGGTGTCTCATTTGGTTTGTAAAGAATGCTGTTCGATTGAACAACGTCATCGACTACATTGCTTTTAGAAATCTCTTTTGAACGAAACTGTTGAGGTGCTGACAAATTTTTACCGTCATTGTTTCCCAAATGATTATAGCTCACAATAGACACTGGTTTTATGCCAGCAGTAACTAGAAAATCTACAAGTACTGACTTCAACTTTGTTTGACCCGATTTGAAATCATCACCAGCAATATGTACACACCATTTTTCAGCTAGTTCTACTACACCTTTGACAAAAGTGTTTGATGGTGATCCATTTATATAAGTACACTGAAATTATAATAAAATTAGTTTATAACTTGTAAAAGAAAAAAAAATCTTACTCCTTCTAAAATGGAAGCAACAGCAAATAAAGTAGATGGTGATATTTCTGATTCATTCTTGCAAATTGATCTTAAAAGATTGTCTGATGTATCATTAAGTCCTTCAATC